GAGTCACTAGCAGACGACATCCTTCGATGCCAAAGGGGAATGGAGGTGGGAGAAAGGAGAAGGGTGCTAAAGAACTAACACTAGATTTAAGGCTTGCGAAGCAAAATATGCAAGAAAAGACAAGAACAGGGGAAGAACTGACCTCGGACGTTTGGTTTTTGATCGAATGGAGTACTTTCTCTCTCTAGAAAAATTTGGCCAGAGTTTCGCTAACAACAAAATCGCATAGGAACGACAGGCCAAGCCAAGGGTATTTATAGCCTCCCCCCGTCTAGGGTTTGGGCCAAGAACCTAGCCCTGAGTTAAAAGCCTGTCACCGATCCAACTGCAGCATCAGCCAACCGGAGACGCCTGCCTGAAACAAGCCAACCAGAGCATGCCACGTGGACGCCTTCTCCAACGGTCATATCCCAACGGCTATTTTTAAAAACCTGAGGTGCCCTCAGCTAGCACCCTTCAAATAACAACGGAGCATGCCCTTGGGTTATCATGTTCAAAGACCCTCGTGCCGCATCTAGCCTTTATCATGAAGATTGGGATAACCTCTCGGGAGCCCTCAGCCCTCGATGCATGGAGGCCTGGGGGGATCCCCCTCGACAATCACCGCCCTCAGATCAAAGACAACCCTTGGGTTTTCGGCGCTGCTCTCCACAGATTATAAATGGCCCTCGACCTCAGCATTATCCTTCATCACAGACCGAAGGTTTTACCTTTTTACTTCATTGTGGGGATACCCGGTGTACTCTTTTTCCCTTATTAGGATTTTTTCCCACAGGGTTTTTCCTAATGAGGTTTTTAACGAGGCATCTCCCCAAAATGAAGCAAAATGCGTCAGCTCTCGACTCTCTACGGGAGACGGGCATTACTCTACTCCTTATCACCCCATTACATGTGCCTCAAGGAGTGGGGGACTGGAGAACCCCTTCAGGAAAATCACAGGAAGTTAAAAATTTTCTCAAAGCATCAACAAAAGCCTCCAGAAATGGGGGACTGACAGTTCCCCTCGGCAGCACCAGAATGCAAACAACCAATGAAAAGAAACTCTCGCAACAAGGGCCCTTTCGATAGAACAACCACAATTACTCATTTTCCCTCAAGTACCTTTCGGCAAAAGGAGTGAGGGACTCTTGATGGAGTATATGGCCTGGGGAACCCCGGCCCACAGACTCCTGCTCCTCCTACACGGGCCCATCAAGCCCAATGACACACAAATACCAAACAAAGTGGCCCAAGCACGAGGAAGCCCACGTTGCACATGTAAATGCCTTCGGTTCTATGGTCGAAGGCTCTAAATTGTAGAAGGCAACTTGATATGGACATGCTAAGCTTTTCAGTATTTCTGGGCAAAATATTAGCCTTCGGCTATTCCACGCCCTCGGCTGAATATAGCCTTCGGCTATATATTTCCTTCGGTATTCGTACCATGCCCTCAGTATTCCACACCTATGCCTTCGGCATACAGTAGACTCGACGAAGATTCCTTTTAGAGACAAGCAACCACCGCATTTAATACGGAGTCACATTTAAGCACCGCATTTAATGCGGTGCACATGTAAATGCCGGTGCCACCCCGATTGAGGTGACCCTCGGCCGTCAAATGCTTGACACGTGTCCTTGTCCAGCATTTGTGGCTACTATAAATAGCATCAATTTTCCATTGTACTCGACACAACACTCATACTCAAATACACACTCTCTCTCTCTCTTACTTATTGCTCTGGCTTCTCTCTAGGTTATTCCCCGAAATAACCCCTCGGATAAGCTACCCCAGGGTACACTATCCATCAATCTCTCTTCAAAATAGCTCTTTTTGTCATTTTCTTTTTCTTTCCGTATTTTTATTTCATTTCCCTTTTTATGTTTTTCTTCTTGATCATTCTCTTCTTAATTAAGATTTTATTTTAAAAGTGAAAATATAAAAGTGGAAAAGTGAAAATAAAAAGAAAACATAACAAAACGTAAAGTGAGAAAAAGATCTTTAATAAGAAAAGAATGATCAAGAAGAAAAACATAAAAAGTAAAATGATATAAAATACGAAAAGAAAAAACGACAAAAAAGAGCTATTTTAAAGAGAAATTTACAAAAAAATTCTCCTTACAGAGTGAGAAATAGAACAATAAAAATGGAAAACAAATAAGAACAAAATGATAGAAAAGGTAATACTCCCTCCGTCCCAAAATGAACTTCACAGTCACTATTCATATGGTCAACTTAAATTACTCTTAATCTTATGTTTTATATATCAAATTTTTATCAAATTTATATTTTTTTATCAGCCTTTGTAGCGGTTTTAATGTAGTTTCTCAATATGTAAATTTTATTTACTAAAAGTAATCTGAGTATGATCAGAGATCGAGTTGCTTTATCGTCAGTCAAGCATCGTAATCCGAAATGGGAAGTTCATTTTGGGACGGAGGTAGTAAAAAAATGTTTGGGGATGAAAATAAAGAAAAAAAATTTTAGAGAGAAAAAAAATGAAACATGAGACTGTTTTGAACAGATTTGCAAAATGTGTGATTATTTATATAAGGTTTTCAAAGAAAGGATAAAAAACCCGGTATAGTAGGTCATCAACAGGTTAGGGTCCAACGAAAAGAGATGAGGTGTAAAGGTGAGATTATTCTGAGCGGAGCCGATCCTGATAAAATAGGGGCTCTGTGCAACAATAAAAATTAGGCCTTTTATTTAAACGTAAAAATTTACAAAGTAGTTCGTAATATATTGTACACTATGTTAGTAATAAATTCTTAATGTCTTATATCAAATTTCAAGTTATTATTAATTAACAATATAGTCAAAATAAGAATATCCATTTACAAAGTACCCTTCATTTAAAAGAGATCTTTGAACATATTTTCAATGTGTTATAAGTACAAACATTTTAAAAGGCGCAAGGCGTGTCATGACGACATGACTAATTTAAAGCCTTTGAAGCCTAGGCAAATTTACTTAGGTAGGGTGAGATGTGAAAAGATATTTTAATTTTTATACTTTGTTTTAATTTTTGTACAGACATTTTAAAAATTGTTACTATTATTATGTCACGATCACTTAATTCTAAAAGATGAATATTAGTTAATATGATTAAATTTACTATTATAATAGTCACTACATTTAAAAACTCACAATTTTATAAATATTGTTTATTTTAATCATAACTTTGTAATTATTTCTAATGAAAATAATAATACTTACGTATTTGTCATTTTTGTTATAATAATTTTATAATACTTCGTATGGAGCAAACATCCTGGGCCTTGCTCATGATGGGAAGCCTGGCGTGCAAATCCCAAGAAATACACTCAGTAGCATAAGGTTGTTTTTGTGTCTTCTCTGATCTCCTAAATCCTAATTAGTTTCCCACAACGATCATGAAAAAGAATTCTGTAGCCTATTGTTTTATAAAAAAGACTTCTCCCATTCGGTCATCCATATGGGTGATTTGTACGCTTAGTGTCTTCCAAAGAGGCGAAAGGCCGGTCTGAATTGTAAGCCTGGTTTATTGGGCCGCATTTTAAATAACTTCATATAACTATATTAAGAAAAACTAATTTTTGGGGCCTTAATTGGTTTTGGGCCCTGTACGGTTGGACTGCCAGCACATGCTCTGGACCGGCCCTGATTCTGAGATTACGTAAATGTGAGATTATTATGAGAAGATCAATGAAATGTAGGATTATTCTTGTCAATTTTTTCTTTAATATTTGACAAATGATGTTTATAAACAAGTGTTACAACATAACCTTATCTCGCTAACGAGGTAAAAAACTACTCAAACAGAATGAAACAATATATGATCAAATCAAACAGTTCACGTGCATCAAGAGAGTTGATTTTTAATTTTGGGATAATGTATTCCTATCCTTTAATACTTGGTAAATGACATCTTAATGCAAACTTTATAACATTGATTTATCCTTCCAATGAGATAAAATGTGATTTTTGAATTTCGATGTAATATGTAATCACCATATAAAATTTACTAACTTCTAAAGCATCAAAAAGCGGACGTCGCAGCTAGGGTTTTAGACCCTTCGCCCGCGGAAGTCTGGGGTCGGCGATTCCAATCGCTCGACCATTTTCAACACAGCCAATTTGAAGAAACCATCCAGGCTCGATCGTGGGGAAGGGCGGTGTTCATAAACAATCCAATAGGGACTGCAAGAGAAGGTCAACGAACTACTGTGCCAATCAAAGGGGACGTGGAAGGTCCAGGATCGGAAAAATTCAAGGTTTGTGGCGATGGTCTTTTAGGAGCGGATCAGATTAAGGGATTGAGTGGAAGAGTTTACGTCAAGTGGCATGAAGAATTCCAGATTCAGATGTTGGAGGAAGAAGATGGAGGGTTGATGACCCGCTCGCCTCCTGAACCGCCGCCATGGAGGATGACGCTTGAAGTATGCATTCGGTTGTTCCATAAGCTTATTTTATTTAATCCGGAATTTACTCTTTTTGAGTTGTTTATTTATGAATCATGTTGTTATTGTTATTTTGAACACTAAGTGTTTTGCTTGGTTTATTTCATTAGATAGGTTTCTGTTGGGAGGCAATCAGACTGACATAGCCGCTAATAGCCTCTTTGCTCTCACCGTTTCAGCGATTCTCGCTCTATCCAGGGTGAACTATTCTATGTCTGATCATGACGCGAGAGAACTGATGATGAGCTTTTGGTTTTGTTTGGAGAGAGGGAGATGTAGATTTTGGGACATGCTTGTTACTTTGGTCATAAGTTATTTCCTTTAAAAAAATGTAACATCATGTAATATTTGATAAATGAATTCTGGATATCAAATTTAGAACATCGATTTACCTTTCTAATGAAGTAAAAATGAGCACAAAAGGAAGAAACATTTTAGAAATAAAACCATTTCGTAGCAAATTAATGAGTACGAGTATAAATAAATGTGTTTCCCGTTTAAATAAATAAATGATTTTTTACCAATATAAGGCGACTCAAATTTATTTTAGAAAATCACACAACATGCGTTGGACCCACAGTTTCAAACCAGCTAACCAATCATCATCAACTAAGCAAATACAGACAGTGTTAGAGAGAGAGAGAGAAAGCAACATCAGCTTAAGCAAAGCTTAGACAGAGAAACACTCCGTTCATTCACTTTACCTTTCCTTTATGTTCATCTCATATTCTCATTGCATTCAATTATACTGCCACACGTTTATATAATTTCCACAGCAGCGGAAAAAGTCTAAGCTTTTCGCTGGACGCCGGAAAGCATTTCTCTTCTTCTTCATTGATATTGTCTCCGGCGGCGGAAGTTTACGGAGCTTTGAGTTGGTGCAGTTCCGATCTAACTCGGCGAGTCAAAAGGTCGGCGCTTTTTCTCTTGATGCGTTGCAAGGGGAGCGATCGATAAACTCGGAGTTTGTCCAATGGTAAGTCAGAGTAGAAACGACTGCTTCACTTGTCGTTTTATGTTTGTCTAGTTGTTTTCGTTGTTCAGGTCAATTGTGTTCTTACCGCAGTCAAAACACTGATTTTTTTATATTTTCTTTTGGATTTTTGTTGTACATCGGTAGCGACTCATTTAACTTGGATGAATATATGGTCAGTTCACTTGAATATGCAAAAAATATAAATGTGTCATCTTTGTATAGAATTTTATATCCGATAATATGTTGGAGAAGTTCGATGAAAGCTCACACTTTGCACTTTGTAGCCCCTCAAGTTTACGTATTAACTATCAATGTATCATGAGCATCATATTTGATAGCTTATAACGGATGTTATCTCGTGGAATTAGAACTAAGTACTGTATTATATATAAACAAAAGAGAAAATGACTCATGAAGTCATGCCTGGGCGCCTGGCAAATGGAATGAAATGTGATAATCTGGGCTCCTACTTCCTCTATATAATATATAATGTGATCTAATTCCATATTATACTTATTTTTCCAAGATTCCTCCATGACCTCAAATGTCTAACTCAATATTGCCACCAGGGAAGTGGGAGGTGCTAATGTGGACTCCCATATTCTCAGACTCTACGGGGGGGGGGGGGGGTATAGGTGTAGTCTAGGGAGGCTCTTGTTATTACGATAGAAAAATACAACGTCTGATGCAGGGGCAATACAAGAGTACTTCAAAGCATCGTGTCAAATATAATTGCTGTTTGATACATTACCCTTTTTGTCTTTTTATCTGTATTAGAAAAATTTAACTTAGCTAAAATGACCGTCAATAAAAAAAAAGTTTTTCCTATAATATTATTGAAATAAAACTCATGGATAAAAATGTGACTAAAGTTACTATGAGTGTAACATTATGGTCACTAAGTCACTTTAGTTTAAAATTGAACACAATCAAAGTAAATAAAAGTTACTAATATAGTCACTCGTCGCTACATATAACATATCACATTTTTGTCCATTATCTTAATTTAGTAATATCACATCTAAACTGTCTGCGCTTCTTTGTTATGAAGCAGTAGTCGGTCTATGCACTTTTTGACGCGATTTTCACTATGGGTCATCCGGAAACAACCTCTCTGTACTAAAAGTACAGGAGTAAGGCTGCGTACATCCGACCCCCCTACCCCACCATAGGTGGGAGCCTTTGCGTCATTGGGGTAATGATGATGATGATAATCTTAATTTACTAATATATATGACGTTATCTCTAAAAAATGGTGCAAAATCTATTTATTTATTTTGGCCAACATGGTTGCAATAATGCAAATTTTACATTCAACTCTCGTATTCAAGATATAATTTCATATTATGTATTTTAAAAATACATTTTCATTACATTTTTAGACAATTCAATCCACTCATCTATTGCAGCAAAATCAGTCCATTTCTACCAAATTTTAGTCTCAAACACGAGAAGTATGTTCACCTCCTCATAATCTTCAGATGCATGTGAATTGACTGACCCCTCACAAATTTTAGAAAGTCTAAGCATTGCTGAAATACTCCAGTTGGAGGACAATATAGCTCACCTCTTTTCAGTAATAAGTGATACCATCATTAACATGTTCCCTTGTTATATGAATATTTTGGCAAGTTTCTGTTTTGAGAATTAGCAACAATTTAATACACAGACATCAGATTTGTTTGTTTAATGAATAAACTGTATGTTAATTTGATTACTCTTCTGCTAAGACTTCTCAAATGTGTCAAACTGTCAACCATAAAAAATATATTTACCACAAAGGTGGTTAGTGGTGGTGGTGGTGGTGGTGGGGGGTTATATTTACATGCACGTATTTGTTAGAGTTTCAAGGTCGTGGTAATACCTCAATAGAATTCAACAATTGAATGCTGATCACTGTAATATTTATTCAGCTTGAAGCCTTGAACCAAATATCTAGCACCACAAGTTCACAATGTTCAATTTTCTCTATGCTTGAGCAGTGTTAATCATGTTTTTGCACTCTGAAGTAAATTAACTGTTAACATATGATTCCTGATTATATAATTAAGGATATTTAGTAAGAGTGACACATAAGATGTGCAACATCTGCAGTTATTTGTGTTAGTGTAAATTATTTCACATTAAGTCAACCACATTACAACTAATGAATATTTTGTTAATACGAGTTGTTGGAAATCCATACCACCACACCACCACTAAACATACTGTTAATCTACCATATGCCCACTGATACTGAATGTTGATACAAAGTGCGGTACGGTAGAATTTACCTTAAATGTCGCATCACATGACATGAATCGAAATATAATCGATATCATAGATCGATTCATGTTAGCTGAACCCAAATTCTTTTGGGATTAAGGCTTGGATGTTGTTGTTGTTGCATTGAAAGAAGCATGAAATGTATCAACAAATTAGATGCATATGGAGTTGCAACTTTTTCTGGAAAAGTGTACCAAATCTTAGTCTAGATGAATAGATCTATATATGCGGCAATATGGATAATGAGTAGTTCTTATTATGTGTGAAGTTGTTTTCCAATGTGGGTGGATTATGTCTAACTTTTCCTACATATTCCCAAGTAATTATTGACTAAAACTAGAGTATGCTATTTCCATGCATATAAAATTCTTTGCTGTATTAACATATAGACTATATCAAGAAAACTGAACTCAAGATATAATCCTCCAACTATCGAGTATCATATTTTCAATACCCCTCAAGCTGAAAGCTTGATCATATATGTTATGAGCTCCAAGCTTGTAACAGATATACACAACTCTAGCTCCCATAAGAGACTTGGTTAAAACATCAACAAGTTGATCATTGGATTCAATAATGAGGCGACACTCTCCCCAACAACCTTTTCGTGAATAAAATGAATCAGCTTCAACGTGCTTTGTTCTTTCATATTTTATGGGACTGGATGCAACATGTAGAGATGAACATGCTTTTATCTTTCATGGAATATCTGGTTGGATGGAACATGCATAGTCGGTTGATTCTCACGAATGAACTGCTCAGAGCTACCTGTTACTGAATTTTTATGGTTGCCAACAGTAGTATGTAGATGGCTTGCCATACTTCTTACAAATCTACTCGATCCTAGATACCTGGTAAAAACATAAGTAAGTTGATCATTGAACCCAAGTACTCACAAATGAGGTAGTGACATTTTTTCTGAACAAAATGATGATGGAATTCAATGTGATTTGTAATGTCATGGAGTATCAGATCAGATACAATATGTAGAGCCGCTTGATTTGCACAAATGAGGTGCTTGAAGCTACACACTTCTGTATTTCCTTGTGCTACATTGACGTCGATGGTTCCTCACTTCCTCTTTCAAGCTACACTGTTGCTCTCTACTTTTCAAGTATGACTTGTTCATAAAAAATCTCCAATCTGAGATCTACTTTTTCCTCACCCGTCATCCCTCCTCCTCTTGAATGGTGATCACAATCAACTAGGGATTTAGACTCAAGAGATGCCTGTTCAGTGTTCTGTCTTGGAGCTGAGGAGCTATGAAGAAGCCTTTCGAAGACTTCTGTAGCATCTGGCTATTGTACTTTCACTTGGAATCTTCCTTCAGATTTCTTCTTGTGCCAATCCGAGTTTGAATAAGCTTTTAACTATCCATTACTTATCATGTTTAGCTGATTGCTCAGGCTATCCATTACTGGTCATAGCTGTATTATATTTGGGCATCAATCTGTGGTTTTTTCAGTAGAATGTTCCAACGAGAAATTTTGAGCTTTTTAGTATTTAGCCTCTTATCAACAAATGGATAAGATCTGAGAAGGTGTCCTTAAAGGCTACATAACTCCCTTGCTCATACATGATCATGAGTTATATAGTCCTCAAGAAGGTGTCCATAAACCACAGTTTAACCGTAAAAGCACTGATAGGTACTGGGCAATTTCCAGATTCGTGAATTATCAAGACAATCAAGAATGGAACAGATCAATCAAGAAAACTGAATGTTTATTAACAGAAGGGAATGTACTGTAATAGTTCTGGGCAAATTCGAGAGTGCCAGGCTCTCCAAAGTCTATTTCCAACTTACTAACAGCCTCCCTCTTTTTCCTCTTCTCCCTTTCTATTTATACTACATGTACACTTATTGTTATTATTATTATTATTTCTATTATTAGCTAATAGGCCCGATTCCTATCAAGAACACTCCTGATAATATAATGGGATTACCAGAGAGATTTAGCACATAAGAAAGAGGATCCAGGTTGAGCAGGAGCATTCGTCTCATGTCATCAATATCAATTCCTCACATCGTCATCATCACTATCACTGGGTGGAATTGAAAATATCAACTCCACCCACACTTCATAAAAGTTGATGATATCATAACAGGAAGGTTGCTGGATGAGGAGATGGGCTGCTTCGCCGGACCTTGCAGAGGCAGATAAAATCACCTGTTTGTGTGAAAGATGCAAAACAAGGGAGTAATTGAACTAATAGAGGTCCGAATAATAGTAAAGGGCCTAAATGAATCATGTCAGGCGTGTTCATGCAATGAAGATAGTGATACTCAGGCCCCACAAAAGCGGCTTTGATACCATATTGGTTAAAATAAGAATAAGCTAACCTCCATACACAAAAAACTTATGGGAAGTGCATAAATATAGACAGGAACGATCGAGGAGCTAGACTATGTAACTAAAACTTGCTCAAGAGATATCTGTCCAACTGTTGGCATTCTCAACAGTATCCTTGGACTTTTGCATGCTTTAGATAACCCATTATGTAACCCCGTGTAACCCATTATGCTTTAAGATGCATTTTTCAAATTACTTATTAATAGTTAATACAAATATAATTTCAACCTCTTTTGATTTTAGAAACTTCTGTTGTATCCTCTCCATATCTATTCTATCTTCCCCATTCTTTCCTTAGAAGGAATTGAGAAGATTATTCTGTGATGGCTCAAAAGAGAAGGGAAGATAAAAGGGGATTAAGGGAGTATTATTTTAGCTCTGAAAACAGACTCATAATTTTTTATGCATTTGAAGCCATCTCTTACATTCCCTGTATGTTGGGGAACTAGGGATGAGATACTCCATATTAATAAATTGAGTGTAATAGGAATGGGATATTAAGACAAAAAGTTGATAGCACTCAAAGGAAAGTAGTAGCAAAAGCCCTGTAGTGAGATTAATCGATGAAGAGGTAAGATATCTGTAAACACCATCCACTTTGTCACAATGAGTGCTGAATGTTCCTATTATATAGATGGGGAAAATAGTTTTAATACCCAAACTCTAATGGGGTCTGAGATAAGCACCCCAAACTTGCATATGTAATATATATCCCAAATTTTATATAAAAAGTTATTTCCGCACCATGATTGTATGTTTTTTTACAAATTAAAATTTATTGAAATAATTACATAATTTGAAATACCCTAAGCTTGGTTAGAATGCAGTTATTATTCTAAAATTTCATTTGTGAAATAAATATTATTACATCCGGTTTAAGTTAATTTTAATTGCATCCTCATAAATGTTTTGTGTATTTTAAATTATGTACTTAACACCATAAAATTACCTTTGTGAAAAAATATATGATTATGGTGCTAATATAACTTTTTATATAAAGTTTGGGGTATATATATTACATGTGCAAGTTTGGGGTACTTATCTAACGCGTCTTCAAAGTTTGGGATATTTAAATTATTTTCCCCTATAGAAAACTTTCAATAACAAGAATTCTTTGAGAATTTAGAATACTATTGATCATTCAAATTTACAAATGATATTAAATCACACGTTCTTATAAATTTGTTGATTGGATGCTAAATGGTTTTATAATGTCAAAACCTGTACATGGATCTTTGACTCTCTGAACACCTTTTCAAAAGTGGAGAAAGAGTGGAATGCAAAAACGCTTGCTGGCTTTTTTACAATGATTTATTCAATTCCTCCCTCAAAAAATCTAGTTGAGTGCATTGTCTGTGTTCAAACGTTTTTCTACTTGCTTAAGCTTCCTCCTTCATGGGTCATCCAAAAACAGTCTCTATGTGCTTTAATACGGGAATAAGACTCCATACAACTGACCCCCCTTACCCCACCGTAGGTGGGAGCCTTTGAGGCACTGCGGTAATGTTGCTGTTGTTGTTGTTGCTTAAACTTCCTCCTTTTAAGTTCTAATATTATAGACTAGGACATCATTGTAAAATTTCATCTATGGAGTTTACATATTGGAAGATATCTTATTATAAGCAAGTCCAAGCTCATCCTGCTATGAACATGTTAGAGTTCTTATTATATTTTAAAACTGTAACTTTGCATGGGCACAATCCAAGTAGGCATTTTCTGTCTTTGTACAGTTATATATTCACCTAGAAGACTGAAGACTATACGACAGAGATTTATATAAAAAATTGATGCTCAGTTTAACGTCATTCATGTTACTATCTCATTTCTCACTATTATAGAACACTGTAATACCTTCATGTGTTCCTTTCTATTTAATCATATGTGTCTCTTTTCTCGAGAATATTTAACATGGTTGTTCCAAATTAATACCTTTTAAGCTTACTTTTGAAAAACATATTTTCAAGGATTTCCCTTAAAGCATTCATTCAAGCTCTTGCAGGCACCACCTATCAACATTATAGTCGGATCTCATGTGTGGGTTGAGGATCCCCATCTGGCATGGATTGATGGGGAAGTGATCAAAATTGATGGTCAAGATGCTCATGTTAATACTGCAAATGGTAAAAAGGTGAATTTTCAGGGATGCAAATCCCTTCTATATTATGCTTTGCTCTCATGCATCATAGTTAGTTGTTTAGTGCTCCATGTATAAAGAAGGCAAGCAATATTGAATATACATCATTAGTATGCTTCTAACTCTGACCAGACCTAATTGGTGAGACATTTGTCCATCTCCGACAATCTAACAACTGCGCATTGTTTTCACATCGTTTATGTACTGTCCATGTGCTAGTTTGGTTCCTTTTGATCATGTTTTTTAGTTTTTTCTTTGCGCATCACTGCATCAGTGGGGGGATTTGAACCCTGAAATAATGTTTTGAAAGAATTAAGTGCAAACCCTGGGGATTTGTAGTATTAAATCAAATGTTGAAATGTATTTGGTTGACTGAAATTGTTATATCCCCCCATAAATATATTATCCTGTGTGTTTGTATGCTTGTTATAATAATTATTTTTCTTTCAGTTTTACTTTTAATTTAGGTGTTTTTAGAGATCTTATAGGTTCTAAATTACATTCAGGTTGTCTCAAGTATCTCTAAGTTGTTCCCTAAGGATGAAGAAGCACCACCTGGTGGTGTTGATGATATGACTAAACTCTCCTATCTTCATGAGCCTGGAGTTCTTCAAAATATGTGTACCAGATATGAACTAAATGAAATATATGTAAGGTCTCTAATCTGATATTTCATCTTCAGAGTTCTTATTGATGGAAAATGGTCTAATATTTCCAATCACTTGTGCAGACTTACACCGGAAATATATTAATTGCTGTGAACCCTTTCCAAAGGTTACCTCATCTGTATGATACTCACATGATGGAGCAATATAAAGGAGCAGCATTTGGGGAGTTGAGTCCTCATGTATTTGCTGTTGCTGATGTTGCGTACAGGTAAGAATGGAATTTCTACCATAATTTTCTATCTCCTTGGATGACACAATTAATTTTGACTGTTCACTTTCCCTCTCCCCTTCACTCTCTCAGGGCAATGAGTAACGAGGGAAAGAGCAACTCAATTTTGGTCAGTGGAGAAAGTGGTGCAGGAAAGACTGAAACCACTAAGATGCTTATGAGATACCTTGCATATCTGGGTGGCAGGTCTGGAGTTGAAGGACGGACTGTAGAACAACAAGTTCTAGAAGTAAGAATGGGATTCACATCTGTTGTTTTTATTTAAAGACCTGACATCTGTTGGTGTCTCTTTAGAAGCAGCTTGCCCCTTTTTAAATGTTTATTAACTTAATAATGGTAGGCGTATTTATGGGGTTCTTAAATTACTTGCAGTCAAATCCTGTTCTTGAAGCATTTGGAAATGCAAAAACTGTGAGGAACAACAACTCAAGGTAACATTCTTCTTGACCTCAAGTATTTGTTCTGTTGAGTTTTGTATGTTAATTGTACACACCCTATAATGCTGCTATTAATTCATGCAGTCGCTTTGGTAAATTTGTTGAAATACAATTTGATAAGAGTGGGAGGATATCTGGTGCAGCCGTACGAACATATCTTTTGGAGAGATCTCGTGTTTGCCAGATTTCAACTCCTGAAAGAAACTACCACTGCTTTTATCTTCTTTGTGCTGCACCCCCTGAGGTATGTATAGAATGTTTTGCTCTTTGTTTCTGTTTATATTTCTGATTTTTTTTTGTATAGGAAAAACTTGTATAACATTCTTGCTTGATATGTTCATTTCTGTCCTATTTTACAGGAAAGAGAGAAATATAAGCTAGAAAATCCTAAGTCATTCCATTACCTCAATCAATCCAACTGTTATGAGCTTGATGGAGTGAACGATGGTGAAGAATACCTCGCAACAAGAAGGGCTATGGATATAGTTGGAATTAGCGAGGAAGAACAGGTTAGGCATCCATTTATAAGTTGGAACTTTTCGCTTGTTACCTGTAGTTTCTGACGTCATATTAATATTTCAGGAGGCAATTTTCAGGGTAGTTGCTTCAATACTGCATCTTGGTAATATTGAATTTGCAAAAGGGAATGAGATTGATTCATCTGTGCTTAAGGATGAGAAATCTAGATTTCATCTTAATACGATGGCTGATTTACTCAAGTAGGTGGTTTTTCCTTGATATCAATTACTACGTATAATTTCGATCCTTAACATTGGTGGATCTTAAAGTATGTATGTTACTAAACAGGTGTGATGCCAAGAGTCTAGAGGATGCACTAATTAAACGTGTGATGGTCACACCTGAAGAAATTATTACAAGGACTCTTGATCCAGAGGCTGCTTTGGGAAGTAGGGATGCTTTAGCTAAAACAATATATTCTCGCCTTTTTGATTGGTATTGACATCGACTGCCTTTCTGATTGTGAATGTATAGTTTTGTATGTCATATTTGCAGTTTCTCGTAATCTGCTCTATTTTCCAGGATTGTAGAAAAAATAAATATTTCGATTGGGCAAGATCCAAACTCAAAGTCGATTATTGGAGTTCTTGATATATATGGATTTGAAAGTTTTAAAAGCAACAGGTTAGACTTCTCAGTCATCAAATTTGCTGTACACTATGCATTTTCCTTATCTTACCTATGATATGATTTTTATCAGTTTTGAGCAGTTCTGTATCAATTTTACAAATGAAAAGCTACAACAACATTTTAATCAGGTTAGTTCTCTAACTTCTCTTCATCGAGGGAATATCTTAATGCTGCTTTATGGCTTATAAACCTCTATCTAGTAACTATTTTCTGCTCAAAATCATATGCTATAATATTTGCAGCATGTATTTAAGATGGAACAAGAAGAGTATGAAAAGGAAGAGATAAACTGGAGCTACATAGAGTTTGTTGATAACCAAGATGTGCTTGATCTTATTGAGAAGGTTTAGAAGCAAGCTTTATCTACTTAAATTCATAATGATTTCACATTACCCTTGAAAGAAATTAATCTCCAACACCTTGATATAGAATTTAGCTACTATCTCCAACTGAATATGTTGAAAATTTGCAGAAACCCGGAGGAATCATTGCTTTATTGGATGAAGCTTGGTATGTTGACCCACTATTCCACTACCATAGAATTAGTAATATTTTGTTCCATTCCCTTTTGAGTTTGAGTTGTTGAGCATATAATCTAATGCACACTACTGTATTTTTTTGGTGCAGTATGTTTCCTAAATCAACTCATGAAACATTTTCCCAAAAACTGTACCAAACTTTTCCTAAAAACAAACGCTTTGTTAAGCCAAAGCTTTCTCGGACCAGCTTTACAATTTCACACTATGCGGGGGAGGTAATAAATTGACACCCTATTGATATTTCTTTTTCTGCTTTCTTTCTCACTTTTATGTAAACAGAGACATGGAAAATGTGCTTAGCAGTATTGGTTATTGTTTCGTTGTTTTTAGGTATAAAAATCATATACTTACATAATAAACAACAACAACAACAACAACAACATCCAAGTCTTAGTCCCAAAAGATATTGGGGTCGGCTAACATGAATCGATACATGATATCACAATCAAAAGGAAAAGAAGGAATAAAGATAAAAAGATAAGCTATTATGAAAAGATAATATAAAAAAGATGAATATATATATATATATAAATGATAAAATAAAAAGGTTGCAAATAATGCTTATAAATATATATATATATATATATATATATATATATATATAAGGATAAAAAAAACTAGGAAAAAAAAAGATGAGGGAAAAAGATTATCAAGATCACTCCTTCACGTGAATACCCGCCCTCCACTTAGTTCTCTCCAAAGTCATGCCCTCATCCAACCCCAGAAAAAGCATATCACTTCGAACTCCCCTAACCCACGTCTGTTTGGGTCTTCCTCTCCCTCTCTTCCCTGCCTCTTGTCCACACATCTCAACTCGCCTAACAGGTGCATCACTCGGTCTTCTACGCACATGACCAAACCAGCGTAGGCGCGACTCCCGCATCTTGTCTTCAATAGGTGCTACTCCCACCCTTTGTCTGATTGTCTCATTCCTCACGCGATCCTTCCTAGTATGCCCACACATCCAACGCAGCATGCGCATCTCTGTCACACTCATCTTATGAATGTGACATTGTTTCACCGCCCAACACTCTACGCCATACAGTAATGCAGGCCTAATTGCTGTCCTATAAAATTTACCCTTCAGTCTAGTCGGCATACCTCGGTCGCATAGAAATCCTGACGCACTCTTCCACTTCATCCACCCTGTTCTGATTCTATGGGATACATCTCCATCTAACTCACCGTCCTTCTGAATTATGGAGCCCAAGTAACGGAACATATCGCTGACCGGTATCTCCTTACCATCCAGAGTAATTCCGCTATTACCACTACTTCTACCTCCACCAAACTTGCACTCCATGTACTCTGTCTTGCTCCGACTTAGTTTGAAACCCTTATTCTCCAATGTTTGTCGTCATACTTCCAACTTTGCTTTAAGACCTGATTGCGTCTCATCAATCAATACAATATCGTCGGCAAACATCATGCACCACGGTATATCGTCTTGAATTGACTTCGTAAGTTCATCCATGACTATGGCAAATAAGAAAGGACTCAAGGCCGATCCTTGGTGCACTCCGATAGTAATAGGGAACTCTTCAGTCCTCCCTACACTAGTACGAACACTTGTAGTACAATCCTCATACATATCCATGATGATGCTGATATACTTGCGTGATATGCCTTTCCTAGTTAAGGCCCACCAAAGAACTTCTCGAGGTACCCTATCATATGCCTTTTCTAAGTCAATGAACACCAAATGCAGATCCTTATGAGCATCTCTATACTTCTCCATAAGTTGTCGAAGAAGGTGAATGGCCTCAGTTGTTGAGCGACCAGGCATAAAACCGAATTGATTTTCTGAAATCTTCACAGTCCTTCGAAGTCTTTGCTCAATCACTCGCTCCCAAAGTTTCATGGTGTGACTCATAAGCTTAATCCCTCGATAGTTGGCACATTCTTGTACATCACCTTTATTCTTAAATAAGGGGATAAGAGTACTCTTCCTCCAACTCGTTGGCATCTTGTTGTTTCTCCAAATCATGTTGAAGAAACTTGTTAACCACTCGACGCCTCTCTCTCCCAAACTTCTCCAAGCCTCGATCGGTATGCCATCTGGCCCCATTGCTCTTTTCCGTCCCATCTTCCTCAGAGCTTCTTTAACTTCCGTTGTTTGGATCCTTCTCACAAAATCACGGTTTACCATACAATCTGGTATGGACAAATCGCCGATATCTTGCGTTTTGTTCCCGTTGAATAGTGTATCAAAGTATGACCTCCACCTTTCTTTTATCTCTCCGTCGTCCATTAATATCCTCTGATCAACATCTTTCACACTCTTAACTTTTGCAATATCTTGAGTTCTGCGATCACGAAGACGAGCAAGTCTACAAATATCTAGTTCTCCTTCCTTAGAGTCCAACTTTTCATACAACTCCTTGTTCACTTTCCCTCGTGCCCCCCTTACGGCTTTCTTTGCTTGTCTTTTAGCCTCCCTGTATGCTTCTATGTTCTCATCACTCCAATTTGTCCCCAACTTTTTGTAGCAATCTCTTTTGTTCCTTATGGATTGTTTCACCTCATCATTCCACCAAGATGTGTCCTTTTTAGGTGGCCGACATCCTTTAGATTCTCCAAGTACCTCCTTTGCCACTTTGTTAATGGTCAACTCCATTGATAACCACACATCATCCACATGTGTTTCATTATCAATACGCCATACATCCTCACCGACCAAAATGAAAATGAACTTACATAATAAACATGTATAGTAAATTAATCGATATATTACAAATAACTAAATATTCATAATTTTAAAACCTCTTTTAAAATCTGAGGTGTTAATAACTACTTTTCAATAAATACTACATAAAAGTCACTTTAGAGTATGGTTGAAATGAAATGTTATCAGTTTCATTAATAGTACTTTAATATAATTAGACTAGTAATTAAAGTATACCATGAAATGGTATTAGTTTCGTAAAATTTTACCATTATACCATTAAAATATTATAGTTATTATATTTTAATAGCATACATCTATGTCTGATATTTAAATTTGATTATTTACTATATCCAGAACTTCTAATTTTATTTAACATTGAAATATTAGTTTAGTATATGTCAAATAAGTATATAACATCTTAAGTGTTTATTGTTTAGTAAGTCTATGATTTGTATTTTATATTTAAAAGACATTAACAATGAATAATACTACCTCTGTCCCTAAAAATGCTTCCCGGTTTGACTTGGCACGCTTATTAAGAAAGTGGAATAAAGTGGAAATGTATGTGAACCACACAAATTGTCCAAAAATGGTAAGTGGGAAGAATTTTTTGGAACAGCCCAAAAAGGAAAGTGGGAAGGATTTTCAGGGACGGAGAGAGTACATTATATTCCTTTATGTTATATTTATAATTTTATAATATCCTCAAATAGTATATTTTTTCATTATAATAGAATAATACTACCTCCGCCCCCCCTAAGATTGGGGCAAAGGAGAGTGATGTGGTTTTAAAGAAACATAGAGTTATGTGGTTGATAATGAATTGATAAAGTGAGAATAAAGTAAGAATGAATTAGAGCCACACAAATATTACTAAATATGATATGAGACAAATTTAGTGGGACAGATGAAAATATAAAAATGGGACAATTATAGCGGGACGGAGGGAGTAGTATTTTATTTTATTTAAAATAGTATAATAGAAACTAATAAGTTTGAATGCAATGTTCTATTAATACTATTTAAATATTTCAATTTACTAAATATATATAGCAACTTAAAATTTCCCAACAAACAATCTTACTGTACATTTCCAGTGATTTGAGTATGTTTCATAAGTTTGAAACAATTTTTTTCCCCCGAAAATGGTAAACATTAAAGTATAGCTGGAAAATGATACCAAATGACACCTACACAGTTCATATTTCTAGTGTAACACTGCACCATCCCTCTACAATCCACAGGTGACGTATCAAGCAGATCTCTTTCTGGATAAAAACAAGGATTATGTGATTGCAGAACATCAGGACCTATTAACAGCCTCAAAGTGCTCCTTTGTAGCGGGCTTATTTCCTCCACTTCCTGACGATTCATCAAAATCCTCCAAGTTTTCCTCCATTGGTTCACGCTTTAAGGTACATTGATCGACTTGCATTGACGATTTGATCATTTTGACTGGATTTTATGTATGAAAATTGAGCATTTTTTTGCTTCGAGATCCATGTGCTTAACTACTACCTCCTCAATTACGTTTTGAATGGCATGTAACTATTGACTTGTATATTAGGATTTGGGAAATACATATGCTCAACTAAAAAACAAAACTTGTCATGGCCAACTCATTGCATCAAACCAGCAAAATGTTCAACTCTTAAGTTTTGGGGTAGTAGTTTATATCTGTTATATCCTGTTAGTCTGTATATCTTCTAGTTCAATATTATGTTAGGGTTTGTTGACTACCAATGCTGCATTTTGCTCACAGTTTTCTTTGCATCTTGTTTCATGTGTGTCCCAGTGTCCCTTTACCAACTCTTGTATAATACAAGAACCCAGTTCATCTTTTTCAGCCTGAGTTATGCATTGGTTTTGTTTATGGAAAGATATATGTCTAAAATCTCCTGAGTATTTGTGTTTAATATTTCCCATCCTATTATTTTGTTTATCTTTTCTTTTGGGGCTGAAATCTCTCTACAATGGTATTTTAGTTCACAGTCTACTCAGAACCTCGCCTCAAACTATTCACTTTACTATAGATTCTCGATGCCTTTAATTTGCTCCTTTTCCACGGAGTGTGTATTTCGAAAAACCTTTTCTCTCGACTCACTTTTGGTGAAACTCTGATACATGTGAAGTGGCAGATATGTATGTTCAATGTTTTAGGTTCAATGTTTGTGTGTGTGTGTGTTCCTGATGGTTGTGATTATCTGATATTCGGATGCTTTATTGATTACTCACAGCTGCAATTGCAATCTTTAATGGAGACCTTGAATTCTACTGAGCCTCACTATATCAGATGTGTAAAACCCAATAATGCTCTCAAGCCCTCCATTTTTGAGAACTTGAATGTAATCCAGCAATTGCGATGTGGTGTAAGTATAGGCATGATGTCATCCTTATGTTTATAACATCACACTTATAACTTTCAAAGTTGAGGAGTTGCTTGCTCAATCACATACATTTTGCTCTTTACTGTAGGGAGTACTTGAAGCTATCAGAATCAGTTGTGCTGGTTACCCCACCAGACGCACTTTTTACGAGTTTCTTCTTCGATTTGGTGTTCTTGCACCAGAGGTTTTAGCAGGAAAGTAAGTAGCAGCCTCTTTCTGTTTCTATCACTCATTCAAAGTTCTTGACATATTTGTGTCAGTATATGAACTTAATGACTGTTACTTGAATTACTTAAATAATCTGTTTGCAGTCATGATGACATGGTTGCTTGTCAGATGATTCTGGACAAAATGGGATTAAAAGGCTATCAGGTAAAATTTGATGTTTGTGTTGCACAATCTCTTCATTATTCTAGCCTGGGTCAAGCTGAATAAATATGTATTCGGCATCTATTTATGGTGAGCATTGTGGGATAGTTAAGTTCATAATACACTATTTAATGAAATTATGAGGTTAGTCCCTTCATTGCTTTTCCAAAGCCCTGTGTATACCAGGCTGTTCACAGGAAGATAGCATCACATAAACCTTCTGAGGTTGTTCAATCGGTTTGAACCCAGTAACAAAAGTTTTCTGAGGTCACTAGTTGTATGCCCTTGGAGGGCCACTGGAGCTTTATCTGTTCGTTAACTTCAGGCCTGCAGGATTATTCAGACAAAAAAACGGTACATATACCTGCATTAAAAAGCTTCACACTAATGCTACTTTTCTATCCAGATAGGGAAGAACAAGGTCTTTCTGCGTGCTGGCCAGATGGCTGAACTTGATGCCAAAAGAGCAGAGGTGCTTGGAAATGCAGCCAGGATAATTCAAAGGCAAATCCGGACCTATATTACACGTAAGGAATTCTTTGAACTGCGTCAAGCTGCAGTTCAAATGCAATCGTGTTGGCGAGGTAACCATTTAGTAGTGTGCGTCTTCAAAGAAATATCTTCTGCTTGTAATGAATCTTGTTCATGTTTTCTTAAACTTTTTACTTAGCCATCGAGAAATCCTGATATAAGACATGAAACTTCTTGTACATTTCTTCTACCAGCAATGTTGGCTTGTAAATTGTATCAGCAACTGAGATGTGAAGCAGCTGCTTCAAAGATCCAAAAGAGCTTCCGGTGTTATGTTGCAAGGAAATCATACTCAACATTACAATATTCTGCAATTGCATTGCAGACAGGCATGCGAGTGATGGTTGCTCGAGATGAGTTTCGGTTCCGGAAGCAAACCCGAGCTTCAATTAAAGTTCAGGTATCTCTATGTCACATGCTTGTGTTAGGCAAACCTGAGCATCTCAATACAACTGAGAGATCATCTTCTTACTTATCTTATAGGATCTTGTTAGGAAAGTACCTTACTATCATTGTATGCAGGCTTATTTTCGTCGCTATAGAGGTTATGCGTATTACAGAAATCTTCAGAGGGCTGCCATTATCACTCAATGTTTTTGGAGGCAACGAGTTGCTAGGAAAGAGCTTCGGAAACTTAAGATGGTCCATCTCTACCCTTTATATGTTTTTCTCTGCCATACTGTATGTGTGTGTGTGTTTGGTGATGTACTAACTCGGAGGCACTAATCTGGGAGGAACTGCTTTTCTGCTGTCTCTAGGATGCAAGGGAAACAGGTGCTCTCAAAGAAGCAAAAGACAAGCTGGAAAAGAAAGTGGAAGAACTCACATGGCGGTTGCAGTTTGAGAAGAGATTGAGGGTAACTCCATGAAATTCAATTCAGTAACTTCATTGTGTGTTAGTTGCGCTTGACTAATTCTATTCCATTTATGAATAAATGCAGACCGAACTAGAGGAGACAAAAGCACAAGAAACAGCTAAGTTACAGGAAGCATTGCATTCAATGCAAAAGCAAGTAGAAGAAGCAAATGCAAGAGTAATCCAAGAACAAGAGGCAGCCCGAAAGGCAATAGAAGAAGCTCCTCCTGTGATTAAGGAGACTCCAGTCATAGTTGAAGATACTGAAAAGCTGAATGCCTTGATCTCTGAAGTAGATAATCTGAAGGTAGAAATCCTTCGGAGGTTAATTTGTTAGCACACAAGCTCACATCATACTTGGTAATCTTGTATACTTGGTCACTGGAAGGTGCTAAATGAAGATTAAAGTCCATTAAGCTGTTTGAAATTAGAAATTAGGATACTGATTCTTATATATTGACATATCGTATATACACCCATACAGGTAACTGAATCTTTTTGAGATGGCGTCAGGCATTTCATTTAGATAAAGCTAACTTTCCTACTATGTGCAAGACTTCTTGTTGTTAGAGCCGCTCATATAATTGTTTCATGTTGTTCATCCCTGAAATTTTTTCCTCTGGTACTGTCTCATATGAACCTTCGCCCTATGCCAACAAAGTTCTGTTTTTGAAAAGAACTAGTTCATTAAAATGTCTGTGGCAGAAACTTTTGGCTTAAAATGACAGGGAAAGTGATTTGTGTTCTGTACATATTTACAGGCTTCACTGTTCATAGAAAGACAAGCAGCAGAAGAGGCAAAAAAGGCTTGTAAAGATGCAGAAGCAAAAACTGTGGAGTTGGTAAGCAAACTTGATGACGCAGAACGCAAAATTGATCAACTTCAAGATTCTTTGCAGAGGTCAGTAATAAGTTTACACATTCTAGTGATGGCAGCTAGGAAATTTCCATGGTTCATTTGTAAATGTGTTGGTATATGTATTACTGGGTGTTGTATTGGGATATGAGAAAAGATAAAGGACTTTAATGAGTGAATAGGTTCGATTGCTACACAGTTTCTATCCATCCGAATGAGCAACATGACTAAGAAATACAAGCATGGATAGCCTTCATCTATTCCATGTGCAGTAAAGTGGACATCACGCTCTGATTTTCTTGTCCATGCTTCTATTCTTCTTGCTAAATTGCTCTCTTTTTTACTTTTGTCATTTCAGACTTGAAGAGAAACTTTCAAATAGTGAGTCAGAAAATCAAGTACTTCGTCAACAAGCCTTGACCATGTCACCAACAGGGAAAACTTTGTCTGCACGACAAAAAAGCACTATTATTCCGGTAATGCGGTAGAACTTTTAATACTGTCTGCCTACTTCTTCAATGAAATTAATTCTCAGAGGTGATTAAAATAAGAACACTTTTGCTTGGTGAAATTCCAGAGAACTCCCGACAATGGAAATATTCTAAATGCAGAAATAAAGGTCAGTCATCTTTAAAAGAATCTCTCTCCTTGTGATTCTGAAGCCTGGTGATGAAAGAATCAAATGTCCTACTTTCTTGCATGCATTTAGGATATGCGTACAGCAGTGCCAATTCCAAAGGAGCCTGAGTCAGAGGAAAAGCCGCAGAAGAGTCTCAATGAAAAGCAGCAAGTTAGTGGCATGACTGCAGCTTGTGCTTGATTTAATTGTAACTTTTAGTTTCTATGGTAGAGGTTTTGTTACATTCGCTTGCTTCTTGACAGGAGAACCAGGATTTGCTGATCAAGTGCATTTCACAAGATTTGGGATTTTCGGGAGGCAAACCAGTTGCAGCTTGTGTTGTGTATAAATGCCTACTTCACTGGAGATCATTTGAAGTTGAAAGAACAAGTGTTTTTGATCGTATAATACAAACTATAGCTTCAGCCATTGAGGTAAAACCTAAATTATGACTTTTTGTGACAAAAAACTCTTTCAGCCTGGTCAATCATGATCCAATATATACTTCTTGGAAAACACGTTGCTAACTACAACTACACTGAAGGTTGCGGATAATAATGATGTATTGGCCTACTGGCTGTGCAATATAGCCACACTGTTGATGTTGCTTCAACAAACACTTAAAGCCAGCGGTGCTGCTAGTTTTACACCCCAACGACGCAGGTCATCTTCAGCTTCTCTTTTTGGAAGGATGTCTCAAGTATGGCACTTCTTACTAAATTGTCTTGTTTATTTTTAGCGAATTACTAACATCCTTCTATTTCTAATTTCCATCTTTTTATCGGTTTGAAAATTTTGATATAGGGCTTACGAGCTTCGCCACAGAGTGCTGGGATTTCCATTCTCAATGGGCGTGTACTGGGAAGATTGGATGATTTACGTCAAGTTGAGGCTAAATATCCTGCTTTGCTATTCAAGCAGCAGCTAACTGCCTTCCTTGAAAAAATATATGGAATGATAAGAGATAATCTGAAGAAAGAGATCTCTCCTTTGCTTGGGTTATGTATCCAGGTATTTGCTTCATCCTTTTGCAAATAAAACCATCTTTTGCATCCTCACTGAAGTACTTAAAGTAGGCTAGGCTATTAACTTTGATATTTCATACGAGTTGGCATGCAAATCAATTTGGAAGTGCCTGTGCTTGAACTTGTTTAGTTTCCATAACTGGTTATATCCTTTGCTTTAAGTTTTCGACGGGGAGTCTGTAATTGCACAAAATTCGCTAATACAAGTATTACTAATTTCCACTAGGCATAAACCTTAATCATCCCAATCTAGTGAAGTTAATACATGGAGCCGAATCTGTGCTCAGTCCTCACTCTTAGTTAGTTCGAAATCCACAAAACTTCTTGGTCTAAGGTTTCTTTCTTTCTTTCTCAGTTTGATATATGCATTGCAGTCGGCCTATTTTCCTTTTGAATTTGTATTGCGCTATCACTCTGTGCTATCAGTCCAATGTTGACCATGCCTAGACCATCTCAATCTGTTCTCTCAAGTCTGTAGGCACTACTGTACCTGCTTTTATATTTATTTTTTTCTTGTGGCTTTCTTTACCACAGCTTTACCTGAAGAAAGCTTTCTAGCAGATTTGTCCTGATAACTGGTTTATAGCAACATGAAAAACATACATGAGTAGGAGATAGAGAGAAAGCTAATTGTTTTTTTCAATGAGTAGAACGTGTTCTACAACCAACAATTTATTGATAGTCAGTTTATAGATACTACTCCTCTGTCTCAAATTAATTGTCTTGTTTGGGTTTGACATGGTTATTAATACATTGATTGAAAAGTAAAAGTTGTGGTTGGATTTGAGTAGAAAAGAGTGAAATTGTATGGATCACATATTTTTGCCAAAAGGGAAATGTGACATGTATTTTGGCACAACCCAGAAAGGAAAACAAGAAGTTTATTTTGGGACATAGGTTGTATGGATGTACACTTGCAGGTTATACATTGATTACGAGTCTCCTAACTTCATGCTACTAGCGTCTTTCTTTTCATGTTTATATGGGCTGTCTTTTTTAGGCACCAAGATTGTCCCGTGTAAGTTTGGTTAAAGGGCGATCCCGAGATAATGCAGCTGCACAGCAAGCTCTGATTGCACATTGGCAAAGTATTGTAAAACGTCTGGATAACTATTTGAAGATGATGAAAGCAAACTATGTGAGCCTTAAATTCTTGTAACTCAGCAGCATATGTATAAATTTTTCTAGCTATGTCAATATCATTGTTTCTGATTGTTTAAGCCTTTCAGGTTCCTCCGTTCTTGGTTCGGAAGGTCTTTACTCAAATGTTCTCATTTATCAACGTTCAACTTTTCAACAGGTTATTTCCTTTCCTTGGTGTGGGCCTTTAATTATTCGGTCTTACATACAAGTACTAACTTCAACACCATATGCACTTCTTTGTCTGCATGCTTTAAACATACTACAATTTTCAGTCTGCTTTTGCGACGTGAATGCTGCTCATTCACGAATGGGGAGTACGTAAAATCTGGATTGGGGGAGTTGGAACAATGGTGCTGCTATGCAACTGAGGAAGTAAGCATCACTAAGGCTCCGTTTGATTCAAGTAAAATATTTTTCTAGAAAATGTTTTCTGAATATTCCAGCATTTGGCACCGGAAATTGTTGAATTTTTGTGAAAAATGACTTCCTCTTGTGAACAGAGGTCATTCTTGAACCAGTTTTACTTTCCTGTTTTGTAGGTTAAGCTATATATCAAACATAGAACAGCTTGTTTTTTAGGAAAGTAGACTGTAACAGCCTAACGGATTGGTTATATTCTATTCATAAGCCTGTTTTAACTTTCCATGCTTGCCCTCAGTATGTAGGCTCATCTTGGGATGAACTGAAGCATATCAGACAAGCGGTTGGATTCCTTGTAAGGATTGTGTTATTGCATTTTTAATAAAATTCGAGTACGGTTTACTCAATTTGGTTGACTGTCATATTATATACCTATCTCCTTACAGGTAATACACCAGAAGCCTAAGAAGACATTGCATGAGATTATGAATGAACTTTGTCCTGTAAGAAATTCTCCTCTTTCCTATCCTTCCTCGACTGTTTTGTTCTCTTGTTTTGTTTTCTAAACACTATGCTTGTGGTTCTACTATATTTTAGGTTCTTAGCATACAACAACTATACCGGATAAGTACAATGTATTGGGATGACAAATATGGAACTCACAGTGTTTCTACTGACGTAAGACTTTTTCTTTTGCTTCTTCCTAAGTTGTTCATTGTTGCATGAGTTTTAATGCGGTTTGCAGTTTCTTTTAAGCTGCTATTTCTTAAAAAAAACAGGTTATATCAAATATGAGAGCCATGATGACGGAGGACTCTAACAATGCTGTTAGCAGTTCATTTCTGTTGGACGATGATACAAGGTAATTGATACTTTTGCAAATGCAGTATTAGGAATTACCTCACACCTGTCATCTTATGATGCTTTCTAAGGAGAATGGCCGCCCTCCGGATTCTGGCTGGCCTTACCGGGCCATTGCCAGCCCCAATGTCCTCAATTTTCTTTTTTGTGCATATTTTTTTTTACTATAGAAATGTACATCAATGAGCAGCACCCTCTTTCTAATTTAACAAAATAAAATAAAAATATGAAAGTCAAAAGGTGGGGCTGATTGGCACCCCCTTTCTGACCTCATTAAATGTTATTACTCCCTCCATCCCAATATAAAAGGTCTTCTTTCCATTTCGGTCTGTCCCTTAAAAATGTCCCCTTTCCTTATTCGGTAAACAAACAGTGCCAACAATGTCCAAACAGTGCCAACAATGTCCAAACAGTGCCACTTTCTTAAATTATGTGTAAAAAGAAGTGACACTTTTAAATTGGGACGGAGGGAGTATTATTTATTTTCTTGGTTCTATTTTAATTCCAAATTGCATCCAAAAGCTATAAATTTAATTTAATTATAAATGCATCTTATTGAAGTACTTCTTACTTCAATATTGCATCCAAAGACATTGAATCCAATTTATCTTACTTAATTACTTACAAATTTTCCATCATTTGCAATGGAGCCAAAGATTCATTATTTTTTGGCTTGAGATTATGATGGAATAAAGCAAAATGGCTCACTAAACTGTTTGCGCTTCTTTGTCATGAAGCAGCAGTCAGTCCATGCAATTTTGGACGGGATTTTCACTATGGGTCATCCGGAAACAGTCTCTCTGTGCTTTAGTACAGGGGTAAGACTGCGTACATCCGACCCCCCCTTACCCCACCGTAGGTGGGAGCCTTTGCGGCACTGGGGTAAATGAAAATGAAAATTACTTACAAATAGAACAATATTTCAACATCATGGATAAAAAATTATTGAATCCATTCCAATATTAATATCATGAGGTACATATCGTTTAATCCAATCAATATTAATTAATTCCAAAGATTAATCGAAAAGGACTCATGTGACCCATAGGGCCTTACTTATTAAACATTAATCAAATTAAGGCCTAAACAAAATCTCTAGTTGATTTACTAGAGTGTTTGCATATACGAATTGCGGGTAATATAGAGCCTGTAGTGATAAGGTACTTTTAATCACTCTCTAAATTTATTATGAAAATGAATCTTTTCTTGGCTTGCCTATCATTTCCATCCACCAACACTTGTTGTATCTACCTCGGGGTGAAAGTCTTGGTTATGATTAAAGCGCATTATTCCACAAATGAAGTATGTATTGACCTCAATTGGAGGAATTTAGACTACACTATACACCGAAAGTTCTGTACACATGAATTAAGAATATCAAATAGTTTCTCAGTTGATTATACCAATATCTAATGTGCCAATTTTATCGCATACCATCGATATCCCAATCACGATGACGATTCGTTGAGGTCAACTTAGGACTTGGGTCATGACACTCATACTCTCACGTACTTGGTTATAACATTAGCTCAAGAGCACACACATAGTAATATATAGACAACTAAACGATGAATGTGATGACTATGAATCTGTAATGCCTGATATTGCATGCAGCATTCCTTTTACGGTGGATGATATATCTAAATCAATTCAACAAGTTGACATTGCTGACATTGATCCTCCACCATTGATTCGTGAAAACTCGGGGTTTGTATTCTTGCATCAACGTACAGTATGACAGGACACTGCCTCATCAAGCCAGCCAAGTGCGGAAACATGGAGAAAATTTGTGCATATTTTAAAAAGTCCATACCTTATTGCTTCCATACGTACCATATTTTTGGGTTTCTTGATTTTCTTGGACATCCGTGGTGGGGGTCCGTTGTCCAGTTCTATTCATTTGTTTTTTTATCTCACACGCCTTTTCAACGTGAGAGATATCTTTAGAAGGCCACGAGGCCTGTAGCTTGATCATATGTATGCAGGCTTAGGAAGATGCAGTATTTCTTTCTATTGTTTTTTGGGAGGAGGTGGGGGTGGAGGTGGTTTCATTTTTGGGTGTATAAGTAACCATATTTGGTCGTCAATTTAAGTCGGCAGTTGTTTGTATTGTAAGAAAATGCTGTCTTAAGGTTTTGGTTGTAACTTTAAGAAAAGAGGATGTTTGAAGATGGCTTACACATTCTCTCTACATACTCGTTTCATGAATTGCCAAAGGGGCTAACAAGCTCACACGTCAAGAAGAGAGGAAACATTAAAGTTAATCATTTCCTTGAATAAGTTCAAATACACTAGGCATGGACCTAAAAATGGATGTACATGTTTTAAACCTTTATTTGTTAGGAAAAAATGAAAATAATAATCTCAACTATTGTCGGTCCACTATTGATAATCTCAACTAGGGATGGACTCGGGCCGGGTGGCCCGACCCGGAACCGGCCCGGGACCGGTACTGTTCCGGCCCGGCCCGACCCGGTGGCCCGGTCAGTGACCGGTCCGGGTAGGCCCGGCCCGTGGGTTTTCCGGTCCGGGCTCGGGTCACCCAAAACAAGGCCCGACCCGGCCGGGGCCGGGCTCGGTTCGGGCCAAAAACTATTTTTTTTTCTTTTTTATCAATTTTTTTTAAATTTTCGGGTTGGGCTGGGTATTTTGGGCCATTTGGGGTGGTTTGGGGGGTTGGGGGTGGGAGGGGGTTAATTAGGAAGAGGAAAACAAAAAAAAAAATATAACGGGCCTGGCCCGGACCCGGTGGTTACCCGGGCCGGACCCGGTGGTTACCCGGGCCGGTCCCGGGTCCACCATTTCTGACCCGCCGGCCCGCCCAGGCCTAGGCCCGGCCCGGACCCGGCCTGGACCCGAGTCCATCCCTAATCTCAACTATTGATTATTCTTGAGTGGTTCCAACTATAGGGATCATATCTCAAAATTAATCCTTAATTGGTTACAGCTATAGTAGATCTTCTTTTATGAATATCAATTATTAATTCTCAATTTTTGTAAGATAATAAAAATACTTTTATAAATTTTCAAACTAAATATTTTTAAACATGTAGAAATAGTTATGAAAATTCAACAAATGTAACGAAATTAAATAAAATACTCCGCATTTCTTGGTCATTTTTAGATTTATTTTCACTAAAATTTCTTTTTTTCTTCTTTTTCCAATTTATTTCTCGCAGTTGTGTTAACAAGTTATGATTTTGTATTATTTTCCTTTTTCAATTTTACATTTTTGTTTTCATAAAGTAAACTGAAATTTTTACAATTTAAAGCTTTATTTTATATTTTTTCTTGAAAATATATTTAATTTAATTTTAATGCTATCTTCATTCTAAAATTCTAAATTCTGTCTTTTCCATTTAGTATTTTTAATTTCTTTCTATTTTTTTATACTATTCACCCCAAAATACTTAGCCAACTCCTAAAATTTGGATCTTGATTTGATTAATATAATATTATGAAAATTATAAATTTTATACTTTTGTGAAAGTGTTTTTAACAAAAACATTTTCATATAACTCTTAATTATAATTTATAAATAAATTCTAATAAAATATATATACTTGGTCAAAGTTTTAAAGATGGCTAAATATTTTGGGATGAAGGTAGTATTATTATATTCTATAAATTATACTCCCCCTCTGTCCCTTAATTAACTTCACATTCAACATTTCATGATCTTCAACGTTGATGTTTGACCATTGATATGTAAAAACATACATTTATAAAACTTATAATAAACCAACTGATGAGATATTAAAGTTTGGTCCAACATACTGGCCCAGAATATCCCTAGGGCCCAGACAAAAGGAGAAGCCCAAAGGAAATCATAGGTCTCGAACGGGAGTTCGGCACATCCCTAAGGCCCAAAACACAAGGGGTAGCCCAGAAGAAGTCATTGGGCCCGAACAGAGGTTGAGTGACTAAAGGAAAGGCCCGTTCGGCACCTCTCGAACGGGATTTAATTAACACTTGGGTAATCGATTTACTCCCGAGTCAGGGGCTTAGCGGATCTCAATCCCGAACGAGGTTTCGATCAAGTGGCAGACTACATTTAATGCTGAGATATGGGGACTGCAAGTGGGAGCATGGGTGCACAAGTGGCATGGAAAGCAACCAATCATCTTAGAGCAGCCCATACCTCTCACCTACCCTCTTCCAGTATAAATAGCACCATTCAATTCATTGTGAGGGGTTAGCATTTGATTACTCACTAGCTCTTATTACATTCTAAGCTCTTGTATTAGCTGTTGGACGGTAACTACCGTTCGGCCATTTTCCTTGTAATCATAAATTACTGAGTTAATACAAGCAGGGCTATTCGAGTACAATCCATCAACTTTTATATTTCTTTTATACACTTTTACTGTGGCAATTTTACCCTAGATCCAAGGTTGGTGTTGGGCCTTCGGGTCGTTCAAGACTTAAACTCATCATTGACGCCATCTGTGAGAACCGTTTACTAAAAGTTTCCAAAGCAAAACACTGATCTAAGCAAGTTACGCACATCAACATGGTCAGAATCACATCTGAACGCACCCATGGTTCTTCCGGGGGACAAGGGGGCAGCAGGTCCTCCAGAACCTGGGCAACGGAGAGCCGCACCAGCGGTAGTCAAAGCCAGGGGTATGACGGGGATTTCACCCACCTAATCCTTGAGGCCACGAGAAGAAATCCCCGACTCATAAAGCAAATGGCGGATGCTATCTGCCTGATGGCTGACACACATGAAGATGGATACTCCACGTATACTGGGGATACCGAGTACTCACCCCCTCGCCAGTTCGCAGAATGCAGACTCTGGATGAAACTGAGGATACCACTGATACGGAAACAACCAGGGCTTCGGTCCATTTACGAGCCCATCCGGGAGATCACCGAAGGACTCACGCGACTACGGACAGACAGCACACTCCTAGTGACCGCACCCTGACCGGGTCCCAAGCCAGAGGAACTACGCCAGTTGGACGCCGTTTCCGGTATGAAGAACGTGATGGCACCAGGTTCATACGAAGACGCCAGAATGTGAATATGCCCCCGTCAGAGAGAACCCCAGAATTGGTTGATCTGAAAACTCTACCACCACCTCCCCGAACGGCCTAGGAGGAGGAAATGGCCGAGATGAGGAGGCAGATGACTGAGATGAGAAAGCAGATGAGCAGATCATCCTAACAACCCACTTTGGCACGTGTCAGGATTACTTCTCCCTTCACCAGGGAGATAATGAATGTTGAGATCCTGAGGGATTGTAGACCACCGACCGGTCTGACATACGATGGGGCGTGAGATCTCCATGTCCACTTGAGAAGTTACCAAGGGGTGCTCATGCTGTTGGGAGCAATAGATGCGGCCATCTGCAGACTATTTTTCAGTACACTCAGGGGCCTGTCCAGGAGTGGTTTGGCACCCTGCAGCCCAGGTCGATCGGGAGCTTTGCCGAGTTGTCCTCATTATTCTTGGCGCAATTTGCTTCCAGTACTACCCCTAAACGACACTTCAGCTACCTAACCTATGTCAAGTAGGGGCTGCGGGAGTCCATTAATCAGTTTTTAACCAGATGGAGAGATGAAACCCTGAGGGCCGGGAGCATGACCGAAGATACTGCAATCACCCTCTTCACCGATCACCGATGCCATCCAGACCGGAGAACTTTACAGGGATTTGAAGAAGAATCCAGGCACGGCCTATGCCGAAGTACTGGAGAGGGCCCGAAAGCACGCCGCACTGGAGGAGGAGATCATGATTAGGGATAAAGTAGCTGCACCGACAGCACCGATAAGATCGGCCGATCGGCTGGGTCTTATCCCAGCGGCCACACCACCTTCAAGAACAAGACATTTCACCCCACTTGTCCTATCAGTTGCAACTATCCTGCAACATGACAAGGACAACATTCCCCCTCTGACCGATACCAGACTTATATGGGGGCGGATGTGAACGCCTTCTATAAGTATCACAAACGGAAGGGTCACCTCACCCAGAATTGTCGAACACCGGCGGCTGTCATTGAAGAATTGATCCAAGAGGGTCATCTCGGCAAGTATGTCAATAAAAACCCAAACAGGCCCCCCAAATCAAAAGCAGAACAAAAGGTCGAACAGCTGGAGACGGGATGATCGGCGTGATGCCGAACCAAGGAATGAGGTGTACATTCCACGGAGGGAAGAAGGGGAAGGATCAGGGAACCCCGGAAAGAAGCCTAGGATGGAAGTAAAAGTGATTTTCGAGGGAGCAGAGACAGGAGATACCAAGACTAAGTGAAAGCGTTTCAAGCGAGGTCTGTTGGTGGCATCAGTTTCCACCCCCACTGAAAAAGGGTAGGATGGAATCCATCACGTTCGGTCCTTCGGGCCTGCTTGCATCACCAAGTCCGCACAGGGATGCACTGGTCGTGAGTATGTGTATTGATGATGCTCTTGTTCGCCAGGTGTTGGTGGACAACGGGAGCAGTGTGAACGTTCTGTATTTACAGACGTTCGAGACCATGAATCTGAGGAAGGATCGACTGAAGCCGCTGAAAACGCCACTGGCAGGATTTACGAGAAAGTGCATTGATGCAGAAGGGACCATCTCCCTTCTGGTCGAAATTGGGGATGAAGCACATCGAGCTGCCGTCCATATGACGTTCGTGGTTGTAAACATTGTTTGTGCCCATAACGCAATACTAGGCCGACCAGGCTTGGAAGATTTGGAGGCGATTGCTTCCGTTCGGCATTCCTGTATAAAATTCCCAACCAACATCGGTGTGAGGGTAGCCGAATGGATCCGACCACAGCCCGGACTTGCTATCGGGAAACGATGAAAAGTAAATACGCGGGGTATGCTCATCAACAGCATTGAGGTGGAGGCTCGGACCTTAGAATTTGTAGCACCCCCCGAGCCGGCCTCATTGTTAGAACAGATTGAGCTCGACTCACCCTCTGACCGAAGGGTCGCAATCGGGGTAGATTTGGAACTAGAGATTAGAGGAGTGATTGCCACATTGAGGGAATCCCAAATCCTGTTTGCACGAGGGCCCAAAGATATGCCGGGTATCGACTCGGAAATTATTTGCCATAAGTTGGCCGTTCGGCCGGAGGTCAAATCTGTACAGCAGAAGAAAAGGTATCAGTCAGCCGAACGGCGTGAGTTCACGAAGGCAGAAGTGACCACGCTAAAATCAAGCACATTGAGCCAGTCATACATGTTGAATGGTTATCCAACGTGGTTCTTGCTCCGAAAGGGTCAACCTGGAGGATGTGTGTGGACTATTCCGATCTGAATAAGGCATGCCCAATGGATCCCTATCCGGTATCCAAAATTAACTTACTG